ATGTGCACAATGACGGCCTGATGACTGTTAAACAATGTGCACAATGATGGCCTGATAGCAAAAGACAGATTTGAAGGACAATAAAGTTTATCTATCTGAACATTGTCTGCAGCTGTAGTCAACATCTGTTCACCCTGAAGAGCCCAAAACACTTGAAGGTTTGTCCTGCTGCTCTAATAATACACAGAATAATCATTATTATTCACAATAATTCATGTGTGTGTTTCTGATGTTTCTAAATGATCTCAGTGATCGATGATAACCAATAATATGAATCATGAAAAACAAACTGCTAACGTTAATTGGATCACATATTAGCATGCTAACGTTAGCTTCATCAGTTTGAACACTTAGTGATCTCTTCGAACTTCTTCTGCTTCATGACACGTCAATATGTGATAATATGAATATCAGAACGTTATTACAGCGATGAATTAACAGAGATTAAAGCGTCCTCAGATCTGGAGGAATTTATTCATTAAATAAATTATTACTAACATTCTTTTACGGACAAACTGAACATTTAATTAAAGACAAAGGCACCAATAAAAAATAATTGCTACATTTCAGAGTCAGTCTTTGTGTTCAAGTCGACATCCTGATGATTCTAATACGTTAATATGGCAAATACACCAAACATAACATGGTTCCATTTGAATATAACGCAAGAAATATTGGTGTCAACAGAACAGCTTTTATTGTGGCTGTTTTTAAATGATTATTTTCATCAACATATCGAGTTATTGAGCCTCTAAACATCCATGAATCATCCATCAGCTGCTGCTTGTTCATCAGGTCACACGTTCAGAGAAGAACTCAACATCCAGAAGATATATTTAAATGTGCATTAAACACACAGTTCATGTCAACAGGATGAAACTAATCTGATCTGATCAAACGCTCTCATCTGATCAATCATCTCCACATATTCAAACAAACATAGAAACACAATAAAACAGCTGAGATATTAAACTCACTAAGTGAATCACATCAAAGCTTGACGGAGATAAAAACAGTAAAACTTCTGATTTGAAGCTGAATTTGGATCATTTTACACATTTTATGAAGCGTTAGAGCTGCTGAAGGTCCGTTAGAGATACAAACACATCACAGCACCTGTAGAGACAAACAGAGACCACAGAGAGTACTGTGGTCCACACACACAGAAGGACTGAGGTGGTCCAGGTCCACAACTAAAGCAGAACCACAGAAAACCATCAGAGAGCTTTGATACAACCTGAGAGGAAGACTCGGTCCGCTGAGGAAGAGGAGGAGGAGGAGGAAGAGGAGTGACACTAAGCTGCTGTTTAAAATAACTCTTTAACTAATCTGACCCCAGAGCAGCTGCACGAGCTGCTCTGCTGGCTGATCCGGGACAGCAGAGCTGATCCGGGACCCGCTCCCTAACAGGACCGACCCGGGAGAAACTGATCCAGGAGCAGCTCTCCAACATCCCATAATAGTCTGTCTCTCTGCTCATTAACACTTCAAGGCTGCTGCTGAATTATGGATCCGCATCAACAGGAGATCAGAGGAGGAGGTCACGTGACGCCATTGTACCGGAGGAGCGAGCGTCATGGCAACCGGTCTCGAGCCCCTCAGGACTCAGATCGATGACGCACTGATGATGTCATCGATTTATTGACTACGAAGATCTAATCAATTAATAGACTGATGACATCATAAAACCATTCAAATATAAAAACAATCTGAAACTATTAATAAATCATAAAACATTCATTTTGATCGATTACAGTTTAAATATTATAAATAAAATATATATTAAAAACAAGTCTTCTCCTGATGTTAAGTTATTATAATAAGTTTATTAAAAATGTATCAAATAATCATCATTCAATTTGAATACAACGCAGTGAATCATGTGATGATGTGTGTGAACTTTGATTGAGTCTGTTTTATGAAAGTGATGTTTAACCTCTAAACGGCCGATCCACGGCTCACCAGTCACTGAGTCACTCTGAAGCTCCTCCCCCAACATCAGGATCACTGCAGTGCTGCAGTCAGAGAAGTCTGAACACTCTGAAGGAGGTTTCTATGCAAACAGATGCAAACAGATGTCTGTAGCTGAGACGTATTACCTGGGAAACACAAAGGGACCGCAGCATGAAGCCTTATATATATATATATATTATAACAATACCACAGAAAATTAATATTTTACACATTTACTGAGGGTATGTCGAGGAGCTTTACAAAAAAGGACATTTGGGGACCCATAGTAACCATGGTAACATACCTAGGCTGTGTAGTAATGTGTATTCATAATTCAAACTAAAGCTTATTTATGTCAATATACAGTAAACTATAAGTTATTTCACCGTTATTCACTTTCCTAAAGTCTCAAAAACTCTCAACAACCACACTCTGCACGTAAAGCACAGACACAAGGACCCGACTCGCGGTTTCAACAGTCACTTCCTCGTACTGCCTCTAAATCTAACCCCTGAATCTGTATATCATTATTTTTTAAATTTCATTGGCTATACGAAGCGTCAGTCATCAGAACGATCGGTCGCAATTGGCTCGAGCTTTACACGAAAGAAGAGGGGCGGGCACTGTCCTTCAACGGGGGCTCTCGTTGGCTGTTGTAGGCTGTGGACAGGACATGGAAGCTTCTATTGGGTCAAGTGAGGTGTCAATCTAAAGGGCAGAGGGCAGCCGCCATTTTGAGACCCAGAGAGCGGCAATGTTTACATGCAAACTGGAGTTACGTTAGAAAATACATAAATAATTAGGCATATCTGCCGGCTAATTTGAAATGATGCAACAGCAGTCCGTGGGTATTTATGGTAATAATGTGTTTTGGACTAAATATGTTACTGGATCGGATCGTCTGGACCTTTGCTAATGTAACAAGAGCGCTTTTCTTGGAATATTATCGATGGTGGATTATTATGAGGCTTCATTGGTGAGTTGCGTTGATATTTTAGCTGCTTGTTTGTGGGTTGGGGGTCTGACAGGCGTTGAGTGAACCTGCTGTTGTGATTGAATCTTGAAGTGGTTTCCATAAATCAAATCACAAGAATCTTTCCAAAGACATGTCGCATCAGTACCTACCTTTACATAGCAGATGTGTACATGACACAGATGTACTCCGACGGCCACGGTAACAGGTTCATGTTATTCAATTATTAAAACGCTTTTAGAACTTTTCACAGGTTTTTATTTTTGACTTTTCTTGATATTTTAATGAACAAACAGTTCAGATGAATCAATAATAACAATATTGTTTGTTTCTTTTTGAATACAAAAAGGTGGTTAAACACTTAAACGTGTTCATCAGCAGCTCGACTCCATCAAACGAGTCAATAACTGATCGATAACGGATCGATAACGGATCGATAACTGATCGATAACTGATCGATAACGGATCGATAACTGATCGATAACTGATCGATAACTGATCATTAACTGAACATAACTTCAGATCAATATGAAGACGCTCAATCATATAAATAATATATAAATCACATTCTGATGTTTAGAATCTGATTAACAGAGTTGGAGACTTTTAGTCCTAGAAACACTTGAGCCTACATTTCCCATAATGCACCTGGATGGTGTCTTTTCATTAACAGCCTGATCGACCGCGAGTCCCTGAAGACATCACGATGACATCACCATGATGTCATCAGGAGGAGGAACAAACATGACTAATTAATTAAAAGGTGACTTTCTGTGACGCGTCCTAGTTAACATGAGGTGTTCTTCTTCTTCTTCTTCTGTGGTTGTGGACAGAGGCTCTTCCTTGTTGGTGTTTCTTAAACGAGGCAACAGATTAGCTGGAAGAGGATTAAAAGATCAGCAGCCGAGTGACGATGCCTTCACTGACCCGTCAGGCTATTTAAAACCAGCTGCACCGCGTTACTGTACCAGAAGTACTACACTTAAGTACTACACTCAAGTACTGCGTTTATGTTGCTTTATACTTCTACTCCACTACATCTTCTACTTAAATGAGTTACTCACTACAGTACTTATTTACTGGCCACTGATTGGCTCTTGGCTGCTTGCATCATTCATGAGAGATGACATATTGCACTTTGTTTTGTTGTCTGAAATTAGAGCACAGTGAGGAGCAGCTGGATTATTAATAAGGATTATTTGGATCTGTTGTGTCATAAAGTGGATGATTGTGTTGAAATCTGAAATGATAATCATGATAATCTGTAGAGACGTTCGCCTCTCATGGTGATAAAACTAACCAGAGAAACCTGCAGACAGACTCTGTCTGATGTGTTCAATAGATTTCCCTTAAATAATGTCGGTTTCCGGTTGCAACAAGGCGAGATTAGGCACGGTGGCCCCACGTCAAGCTCCGGGGCCCGGGGCCATTACTGAACGAGCTCAGGGGACCCCGAGGCCCCCAGAGACACAAAACAACTACAAAGAGACGCAAAACAACCACAAAGAGACACAAAACTACTAAGAGACACAAAACAACCACAAAGAGACACAAAACTACTACTAAGAGACACAAAACAACCACTAAGAGACTCAAAACAACTACAAAAGAGATGCAAAACAACCACAAAGAGACTCAAAACAACTACAAAGAGATGCAAAACAACCGCAAAGAGACTCAAAACAACTACAAAGAGACGCAAAACAACCGCAAAGAGACTCAAAACAACTACAAAGAGACTCAAAACAACTACAAAGAGAGGCAAAACAACCACAAAGAGACGCAAAACAACTACAAAGAGACGCAAAACAACCACAAAGAAACGCAAAATAACTACTAAGAGACGTTCAGGTGAAGCTTGACATCCGTAGATAAAGATAAAGGATCTGGGTTAACCTGGTCCTTTCACAGAGAGGAAAACTGATCCAGGACCAGGCGAGATATCAGCTTTCAGAGCGAGACGACAAATGAACTAATTAGGTTCAGTCAGTGGAGACGAATGTGATCAACACATCTGAGCAGGACAGATTCTCTGCTGACAATAATACTACTGATACTACTAATAAATACTTATAAATACTGCTCCATGAGCTCATACTCTCATTAACGAGTCATTTCAAATGAAACAGAAGTTTGGTTCTTTTCTTTAGCTGCTAAATGTCTGAAGACTTTGGTGTTGCTGCCCTCTGCTGGTGGGAGATGGTACTTCAGCTGTGGTGTGGTTTCTGACTCCACAGAAGATTTAAATCATTAATCCTCATTAGTCAGCATTAATACTCATTACTCCTCATTAATCAACGTCTGTGTTCAACAGTGGCGGGCCGTGCATTTCATACCTGAGCCTTCAGTGCTGTCCTGCAGCTGAACCATCTCCTAATAACCTCATGATGGCGCCACAGCTACGGTTATTTGTTTCTAGGGGTGTAACATCACGTATTCGTATTAAACCGTTCGGTACGAGGCTTACGAACTGAACAATATGTTTGAATAATGCTAGTGCATTTGGAAAATGCAGAAGCTTAAATTGTGGGAAAATGAAAATGAGGCCCCGCACTTCTGGGAGGCTACGCTAAACTCAGTGGCGGGCCGTCAGGGCCTGCAAGGCCTTCTCTGCTGGCCTAAACAGAATCACAAAGTTATATCTATTTTATAATTTAATAATTTTTCTTAAATACACTACATTATCATATTTTCTTATCTTATTTTCTCATTGCACAGCTACTGTGTTCCTCAGTTGCTCTGCTTCCAGTGCAGCTTGTTTTAAGTAGAGCTTTTATCCAATCAGATCTCACCTCTGTGTCTCTAGGTAAGAACAGAGGCAGAGGCCTGCAGAGTCTCACCTGCAGCCAGTGCAGATTAAAGTAAATGGGGACGATATTGTTGATTGTCATAGTGTTCAACCAATCAGATCTTTAGTTTGACATGTTGGGCGTATTCTTTCACTGTCAGAGCCTGCTAGCCGGCCTATAATGACGTCAGCATTACATGCCGCCAGTGTCCGTGTGTAGCTTTCCTGCGAGGTGCAGAGTGTGCTGTGATTGGTCAGTGGGCGAGCACGTGACTATCGTGAAACGAAACTTAACAGCCAGCAGAGGCTGATGGGTAGTGAATCACATCACGTGATGCAGCTCAGCCAATCAAAATGCATTCTGACTGAGTGAGCTGCACCATGATAGAGGGGGCTGAGACGAGGAAAGACATTGCAGAGCAGTACGTTGTGACAGCCTATAATCTCTTTGGGTCGTGGCTTGTCATTAAGGAATGACAGTGGCTCCCACAGCCAGACCAGCTGAGAACATTATATTTTCCTGAATTTAGGCTTTTGCATTTTCTAAATGCTCTAGTGTTATTCAAACAACTCGTACCGAA